TAGCACGATTTACCTACGCGCAGCGGGTACCCGGCAGCTAGTATATATATATATATGTGTGTGTGTGTGCGTGTGTGTGTGTGTGGTGCCGAATATAGGCAGAGCAGATTTTTCTTTGCCCAACATATGATCTCTTGTATGTCGAACAGGTATATAACGTGCTAATTAACATTCTCAAAGGTAGACAAGAGAAGATCTTCCCTTGTCTATTTTTGCAAATCCATATATTAAACAATGATATTCTGGTAGAAACAAATGTTCTTCCAATAGGGCTGAGAGGGTCTATGTCCCCCGGGGTACTGCCGGAACTTACCCTGGGGGACATAGACCTAATGAGCTCCAAGGGGCTTCAGTATTGGCGCAAAGTCAGGTGGCATATATATATATCCAGTGAGAATCGTTGAGATTCGCTTGGTCATAGGGAAGTTACTTGACACAAACTGCGATTGTTCGTCAAGGCGCATCGCAGAGAAGATCGGGGTCAGGAAATTGAGGCCTTCTGTGAAACACGTTTTGAATATTTTCCTATTATTCGAAAAAAACGGCTGTTTTTGTGTGGCCTCATTTCACGCTTGCCTTATGCTCACCTAGCTGCTTGGTAAACATGACAAGTTGGTAAAAGGTGGCGAAACCTGATATTGTTTGGGAGAACTAAAACCAACAACTTTTCTTGGATTGAGCTAGTCGGAGTAGTCCCTGTATTATGAAATCCTAAGTAATTAAAGCCTATAGTATCGGCAGCAAATTTGTCAGCACTGTACTCCACCGTCGCTTTGCAACTTGCACTTGCAAACAAGTACACCTCGAATAATTGCATTTTACGCATTTTAAAATTTTTATAGTTTTAACATTTTTAATATTTTTTTAAAGTGAACGAATAAAGATGCCAAATAACTCGACCAAGGACACCGCGGGCGCGGCGATCGTCGCGCGGCAGCCGGCCACGTTCGGAACTATGGCCGAGAAGAAGAGCGACCGGTCCGCCGAAGACGATGAGGCTTGCTGTCTGAGTGGCTGCCACTCGCCTCGCTGGCAACCATGTGCCAACGTCAAACTGTTCGTGGGGAACTTCACGGTCGTATTGGTGCTTCTCAGCATTTACAGCACGTACCAAATAGGTAAAACCTAGATGATAAAATTTTATATGTTAAATATATATAATATATAAATATTACACCGACACATAGATATATTAGCGTATATATATATATATATATATATATATTATCGTATATATTTGATTAGATATGAGGTGAGGGTAAGGTGACGCTGAAAGAGAGAGAGAGAGAGAGAGAGAGAGAGAGAGAAGAGAGAGAGAGAGAGAGAGAGAGAGAGAGAGAGAGAGAGAGAGCGAGAGAGAGAAAAAGAGGAGCAGGATTAGCAAGAGGCGCATGACGGGGCATGTACGCCAATGGAATTGCATTGTGTGATGAAACAGGAAACGCGTAAGCAGGAATGCGTATGTGAAATATATAGGGACATAATGAAATAATGAAATATGATATTAGAGCTGCATAATTGCATTTGCAGGTGTACTAACGACCATCGAGAGACGATTCCAGTTTCCCAGCAAGTACATGGGCGCAATCTTAGCAGCAAACGACATCGGCAGCGCCTTCTTCGTGATGATTCTGTGTCACATAGGAAGCAACAAGCGCAAGCCAGCTTTTATTACATACATAGTTCAGGTTATTATAACTATATCCTTCCTCTATACGTTCACAGTCTCAACACGTTTATATTCAAAAGCACATTGTTAAATCTGTTCTAATAGTGGGGCAGATATGTCCTATATATTTTTTCACATATCTGCCCCACTATAGATTACTCAAGTCAAATGGACTCTAATTTACGAGATGGCGATTGTCAATGGAAACAATCGCTAAGCGTGCAGTGACATAGAGTTAGAAATAGACATATGTATTACATCTATATGTACCGGTTGCATTTAACCGACGATGTGTTCATGGCAGCTCTCTACCCTGGGCATATTTTTGGCGTCTGTGCCACACTACATCTACGGAGGTGGTGGCCCGACAGCCAGCGCAGAGGTGGTCGTCTGCACTTCTCCACTCGACAATAGGTACGAATACATCGCGATATATGTTAACACAAAATCACATATCATAACACATAATTTTCATTCATCGGACGAATTTGTCTGAATTTCCAAATCTCACCCGGGTTTCATTGTTCCCGTACGAATATGTTTGTCACTTCTAAACGATCTATAAAGTCCCTGTTAGAAAATACCCGATGGCTTGCGGGACCAAATGATCGATTTCGTATTGATGGCTTGCCTACGACTTTACACACTCGCACGCGCACGCACACACACACACACACACACACACACACACGCACGCACGCACGCACGCACGCACGCACGCACGCACACGCACACACACAGCACCACACACAATACACACCACACACGCACGGCACGCCACACAAGCACGACACTTCACCGCACACCACACGTGCCACGCACAAACAAACACAGCGACGCATCGCGCACGCACACACGCACCGCCACGGCGCACGGCACGCCACACGAGCGCACGCACGCACACAACACGCACACCGAGCACGCACGCACGCGACAGCAGCACGCAACAGCACGCAACGCACCGCACGCGCACGCACGCACGCGCACGCAGCGCGCACAGCACGCCGCAACACACGCACGCACGCACGCACGCACACACCACGCACACGACGCACGGACACACACAGCGCACGAGCATCAGGCACGCGCACGCACGCACGCCACGCGCACGGCAGCACGCACCAGCACGGCACGGCGCAGCGCACGTAGCAGGCTCGCCACCACGCGCCAGCGGCACGGCAGCACTCCCGGCCCCCGCGCCGCCCCGTCGACGGCCCCCCTCGGACCAACAACACGCGCGCCAGCCGGCTGGCCTGGGGCCCGCCGCGCGCCCCCCGGCCCGCGGTTCCCGCGCGCCCGGCCCCGGCCCGTACCCAACCGGGGGCCCCAACCCAACAGCCTGCACGACACGCACGCACGCGCGCACGGCACGCACACACGCACACGACGCACCAACAGCACACACAAGCCATACACACACGATACCCCCCCGACACGCAACGCGCACACAAGCACGCACCACGCACACACAAGGGAGGGGGGGGGGGGGAGGGGCGCAAACAGCGCACACACACACGACACACGCATCCCGCGCAGCGCCCACACGCACGCAGCCACGCACCGCGCCACAATACGCACGCACGCAGCGCACACACACTCACACACGCAACACACACCGCACGCACGCAGCACACACGCAACACACGCACACCACGACACGAAAACGCCAGCGCAACGCACGCGCAAACGCACGCGCACGCACAGCGCACGCACGCGCACACACCGCACGCACGCCACGCACACACCACGTTGAGGACTCCTTCCGCGCCGCCGCCCAACACAACGCACACACACCCACACGCCAACGCACACACCACGCACAGCCACGCACGCACCAGCAACGCGCACGCAGCGCACGCCACGCCACGTACGCAGCTTGCACGCACGCGCACGCACGCGCGCAACACACACACACACCACACACGCACGCAACGGTAGCGCACACACATCAAACAACACACACACAATGATATATATATATATATATATATATATATATATATATATATTATTTTGCAGTATTGGTATATGTTAAAGGTATAGTGTAGTAAAGTGAATGTTATAGTTCTGATCATTTATTTTGTAGGACGGAACAACCTGTCTGCGTTAGCAACGGAGCTTTCGTCAGCAGCGAGAGTAGAGTGGCCTTCATACTGATGTTTCTAGGCGGACTGCTCATCGGTACCGGCTTATCGCCGCTGTACAGCCTCGGTGTGGTCTACATCGACGACAACGTCCAGCATAAGGCGACAGTGTCATATTACATGGGTGCATATTTCATCTACCAGATTATGATGCTATACAATGTCGGGAATACGACGGTCGTCGGATTTAGATATGTAGGATTTAGTAAGGTGATAGACAGATCTGTCGATTATGATACTCATGGAGGGGTGGATGGACGAAGGATGGATAGATGGATGGATGCATGAATGGATGCATGAATGGATGGATTGATGGACGGACGGACGGACGGACGGACGGGCGAACGGACGGAGGAACAGACGGAAGGTGGGACAGACGGATGGATGGTTAGGTCAAAGTATTGGGTGTGTAGGTAGGCGAACGGAGAGGTGGATCGACGGACGGACACCTAACGATAGCAAAAAGCAAGTTGAGTGGAATGAGAAAGAGAAAGTAAGCAAATGAGTAGAGCGAAAGTGAAAAAGAAAGAGAAGGCCCGGTGAGTGCCTTGGGGGGAAGGGGGATTCAGTATTAAGAATGGCAACCGTAATACTATCTGCGCGATAATATTGATAAACATGACACTATAACGGTTTCCCGCCGTTTTTGTAATTTAGGCATAACGCAAGCTGTTCCTCTGGTCGGTATGATGGTTGGATTTCTACTGGCCGCGCTCACCGTCTTACTTCCAGATGATCTCAAAGGTTTGTGAAATAATAAAGCATATAGTATCAGCATGCCGCGATAGCTTTCCTATGCTGTTATTCACGAACGAAATCCGATGCTTTATTTCTAATAGTTTTCGACGTATAAAGCACACGTTTGATTCTGTTAGTCTTGTGACGAAGCCATAGTAAGGTAGTTAGTATAGTAGCAAGCAGTGTGAGGTTCGAATACCGATCTATATATCTATTTAGATACGACGCTATCACCCGACGATCCGGCCTTCATGGGCGCATGGTGGCTTGGGTTGGTCATCGTTTCCGTGGTTCTCGTCCTGGTCAGCTTTCCTATGGCGTGTTTCCCTAAACGGCTGCCAGGGGGCGCTAGTAATCAGGCGCGGGGCGATGAAGCAGCCGACGGTAGAAACAGTGACAAAGCTGCGAAGACAGAGGAAGCGCAAGCTGTCGAAGCAGCAGAACAGCTGTTCGAAAAAATGAAGGCAAAACCTAAAGGCGAGTACAGTAAAGAAATTTAAGTGTCACATAAAATGTTCTCATGTCCACATCTTTCATAACGGGTGGGAGGAATTATCATAACTGAGAGTAAATCAATGATATAGATAATAATAAAGTTAATTATTAAATCAGTTGTTTGAACCCCCTAGCGCTACAGTGAATGTATCGCTAATATTTGGCAATAAGTAATAATTTAGGGCATTCAGACAAAGCTACCTGTTAAAAATACGTGTTTTTGTCCGTAGCGTTGTTGCTAAAGATTTTGTGCCGAGTCATTCCAAATAAATTATTCACAGCTATTTCTATCTATATTTTCTCTAGAGATGTTTAGAGAGGTATGGAGGTTGCTGAAGAACCCAGTTCTAGTGTGCTTCGCGTTAGGTGGCGCGCTAGACATGTACAGCTTTTCCTTTCTCTCGTTCCTTCCGAAGTACCTGGAGCGACAGTTCGGTCAGACGGCCTCCACGTCCAGTATTGCAACAGGCAAGCGATAGACGCGCACATAGTATTAGTAATAGCAGGACCGTAGTTAACCCATTTTGTTTGGGGGGGGGTAAAGCCACGTGTGTGGTGTTTTGGGTTGGTGAACGCCAATGACCATGTATTGTATCTAATTTTTCTAGGGGCAAACGGCTTCCTTGCCCCCTCCCTCCGCTAGCTACGGCCCTGAATAGTAATAGTAATAGTAATAGTAATAGTAATAGTAATAGTAATAGTAATAGTAATAGTAATAGTAATAGTAATAGTAATAGTATTAGTAATTGTAATAGTAATAATAATATTAACAGTAACTGTAATGGTAATGGTAATGGTAATGGTATTAATATTATTATTATTATTATTATTATAAGTATGCGACCTTTGATAATATTAACAAGAAAAAGAAGAAAAATGGAGAGGAGGAGGAGGAGGAGGAGGAGGAGGAGGAAGATGAGCAGGAGGAGGAAAACACAAAAAAACAAGACACCGTAGCAAGACATTTGTTGTTGTTTCTTTACATTAACTAAATGTATGCATGTTCTGTCTCGCAGGGTTCGTGGTTCTAGTGGCAGCAGCTTCGACGCTAGTTGCTGGCTACATGATTAGACGCTTCAAGGTTCAGCTTAGGGGCATTGTAGTCATCACCCTGGCATTCAGCCTGATTACCGCCATCTTTGGGTGCATCTGTATGCTGGTGGTCGGTTGCGCGATTCCATGGGCCAGCGAGACAGACACACAGCCGTAAGTTGCCTTAATACCTCAATAGTAATACTCGCACATGCTATTTGGGCACTGGGAACATACGTTATAGCAGAGATGACACGGACCTATTTCAGAAATAATAAGTCACGTTATGTTTAGGCCATATACGTACTATTATTATGTGTGGGGTTATGTACAGGACGCCGTTGACAGAAACGTCGCGGCTATACGACAATGATTATTTATTATGATAACTAATGGAAAATTTGTTAAATTTCACGAACAAAACTAATATTACGGCTAAAATGTTTCAGACAACGCGGCCCATGCAAGATGCGATAGATTGGAGCAATTTCGTAGATACATATTATTGAAAAATGCAATTACACGATAGTGTTAGTTGATAATTATTAACAGCTAATTATCTTCAAGAATACCAGCTAAGAAGTAAGCGGTTCCCCTATGTATTGGTACGGGTTCTAGGTTTTGGCGAAGCTTTACAAAAACGTATTATATAAGCAGCGCTGTCGTAATAGTACTGCATGCGTGCTTGTACGTACGGTGGCGACGTTTGTATGGTGCGCACAACGAACTAGACAGCGTACTACCAAAGTATATACGGAATACACAGTAGTTTTTCTTGTTGAATACCTCATTCGTAAAACAAATTTATTGTAAGCAGAACTATTACGCGCGTACGTGATATTGAACGTATAGTAACTCATACTGTGCCACGCGGCTTTCATTTGCGCTTTATTTTTCTCGCCGACATATCGTAGTTTGGAGTTCAACACGACCTGTAGCGATGGTTGCTCGTGCGAACACAGCCCATTCAGCCCTGTCTGCTCGGATATAACGCAGCTCGTCTATTTCTCGCCCTGCCATGCAGGTTGCACGCTAGCTGACGAGCAAAACGGAACACAGGTAAATACTCACATAGCAGTGAAATCACATAAATGCTACTTAGTAACGGTATATAAAGAGATTGCGCACGAAATGGGTAAATTTGGAACATAGTCACGTCTTTCAAAGTCCTTCAAAGTATTTACGTATTAATCGTAGTCGCTAAAAAGGTGAAACCAGCGTTTACTATTAGATCAATCGTGCAGTGTAGCCCATAAAAATTAATTATACGCACAGCACACGCACATGCACTGGCATACACACGCAGGTCTACGCACACGCACGCACGCACACACGCACGTAGACACACACACACACACTCATATATATATATATATATGTATACATACACGTGTGCATATATATCTAGATAGATAGATATAGATAGAGAATGTATATAATATATCCGTATATGTTGTATTCCTATTTGATCTCAGTGACCCTTATACACGGGTGACACATTTTTCATCACCATTTTCTGTGCAAACATGGCAGTCTTTCAGTAGCAGTGTTTATTGATCGTCATGGAAAACTACACTGAATCGCCCCTTTTCATGTGGTTTTCCGTCCCACATATGTATCGAAGTTACAAAGCCATCTAATTGTCGGTTCCCCGAGACGTCTAAATGCAATATTTGCGCACATTCAATCTCGAGTACCCTATTCCTGGTATGATAGTAATAACGATTGCATTCATGTATGCACAGATGTAACGTCATAACGCTTGGCCTAGATAATTACCACTGCCTTGATGCATTCATGTGTCTATTATGTGTACACATAATTTTAATGAATCAGTGCGTGCGTTCGTGCGCGCGTGCGTGTGTATGCGTGTGCATGAGTGCATGGGCATGTTTGTGTGCGTTTTCGCGCGAGTCAGCACGCATGCGTAGGCAGAGGCGCCTCTTTGTGCGCTCACTGTGACCAGCGACTCACGTAAAACCAGCGCAAATTTTCTTAAACCAATGACATTCGAAACTTGAGCGCTCCTCTGTATATACACTAACAACGGACCTGTCGCATTTCAGGTGTTCGCGAACTGTAACTGTACGAACACGGTCGCGCGGAGTGTGCAGCGTGGCATATGTGAACAGGACTGCCCAGCCGTCTACGCCTATCTAGTCGTCATCTACCTGGCCATCCTGCTGGCTGCGCCAGGATTCCTTACAACCATAATCGGACGTATACGATGCGTGGAAGTATCGCAGAAACCGCTGGCCATGGCCATCGGCTCGCTCACACTCACCATGCTCAGTAAGCGATCGGCTAGAAGACGAGCGATATGTAATAGGAATAACTATAAATATATATACGTACTATAACTACAAAGCACGCACTGTAACGCATTACACAACTATATCGCACACACACACGCACGCATGACGCACGCACACACACACACACACACACACACACACACACACACACACACACACACACACACACACACGCGCGCACGGACGCACGCACACACACACGCACGCACGCACGCACGCACGCACACACACACACACACGCGCGCGCGCGCGTGCACGCTTACATGCGACATTCCAGAATTTTAATTGAAAGCTGTGTGTCCCTTGCTACGCGGCATATTAAATCCGTAACTAAACAAATTTCGAGAGAACAGAGTGCAAGTGAATTACTGCTCGTATTTTGTCAGTAAGCGTAACATTAGTTTTTTAATTTTGTTTTTTATGTAAATCGATGATATTTTTAGGTTTCTCCGTCTAATTAGCTGTTTCGTTCGCGGGCGATAACGATTTCTACTTCTCTTTATTAGAGTTAACGAGCCGTTACAAATTCCAATGTAGGCCTACACGATGCTGAGCTTCGATCACTATCTCATAGTATTTCGAAAATATGCAATTCTATATAAATCTGTGATCGGTGTATATGTCCATCAGCTGCTGTCGGTGCTATGTAATACGTGTAAATTTACTAATTAATTAAATTTAATTAATCCTATATTATGTTTAATGATAATTTATAAATTAATAACTAAATATAAAATAACAATGTCGGTTCATTAATCAATTATTTTGTAATCAATTATTGATTAGTTTCTATTTTGTTCCTGATCTCATAGATAGCCTGCCTGGACCTGTCATCTTCGGTGCAGCGATTGACTCCACGTGTGTCGTCTGGGCGCAGGGTACATGCGAAGGGGAAACGGGAGCCTGTATCGCCTACGATCACACTAGACTCAGACATGTCTTCCACGGAGTGCTAGTCGCCTTTAAACTCGCTGCGGCTTTATGCTATGCGTTCGCCTGGTAGGTTTACCCGAGCAAATAATCATCGTAGTATTATATATTTTAGTAGGGCTATTATGGTAGTGTAGTATTGTAATATTATATTGTATTGTTGTAAGTTTATTTTTCTCCATTTACCGAGAGAATTAGGGTAAAGCGAAGTAATATTGACCACTTAATGGGAAACTCGTAGTCTCATCTACAAGTTTCAACGGTTCCTATAATCATGACCCTATAATACTATGTTAATGGTATCATCGTCTCTTGATATATATGCAACGTTATACTCGCAGTCCGTCCAGCCAATAGCGTTAAACAATTTAACACCCAATAGGAGGCAACTATTAAAAACGGCAGCCTTAATTCCGCCTATTTTATTCGTTTATATCTGCCTCGGCTGCCGTGTTCTGTCAGTACCGAGGATTTATAACTTATTTATACTTGTAAAGCCGCAAACCATTCAGATAATTCCACGTCAAGTCGTCTATTCATTGGGCACCGTAGAGTTACAATGGAAGTCTAGTGCTGAAAAGATGGCGTGTTTGCGTTGGATTCTATGACATAAGTCCGGATTATTATAACATCATGAGCTGCATACAACCGTCAAATGCCAGAACTCAAATATGTATGACCTATGCACAAAGTAAAAGTTGTGTAGTCGCCTGGCTTGGCCGTCTTTAATCAACCGTCTTTCTGCTAGCGCAATCAGCTTCCTTTAAAATCGATGTCCAATCTAAGACATTCAAATTCTTATTTAAATCAACAAGCTATGTGCCGTTAGTAAAACAGGTATATCTACGTTTTATCTACGTTAGAAAATAATATCTAGTCTTCTACTATGAACGTAATTTCTTTGCTCCAACTTTTTCCATTTTTTATAATTGTTCATTCGACTGGTCCACTTGGTATTGATAGTTTTCAGGTTCGATCATCCCCCGTTTGTAACCATACTGAGCCATTATAATAATCATCTCACGTTTTCATCTCTTACTCTGGCTAGGGTTAATAATTATTTGACGCCCATACCATCGTCTATATAAGTTATTATTGAGAAAAAAACACCATGAGATATTTATACCTGGAAGGCATCACCAGCTGTCACACTTGTAAATTAAAAAAAATATCACAACGTAGTAATAAATCACATACACTGATCACTACTCATAGGTACAAAGTCAAAGGACCGTACCTCGGCGACAGCGACGATGATTACGTAGTCCATAGCGACACGTTGGCAAGCTACGACAACAAGGCTTTTTCGTCTAGTTCTTCAGTGGCGACTACTAAGAAACACACTGAGGACTGATCGCAACACTCCAACACCTATTAATCTAGCCATTATCTATTATATATAAAGTTGTTCAGCCGAATTAGATAGTTAGATTTTTGGGGTATTTTTCTTCAACCAAGAGTAACGCCACTGATTTCCCCGGGCAACGCCGGGTATCCCGCTAGTAATAATATAATGAGACTACGTCGTTCGCAGAATAACAAAATGCGGTATGTAGCTCAGATTTTATTTCTGCCGCGCCCACACTTAACCTTAGCGGAACATGTAAATGTCAACGTGTGTTGTACGGTATGTGACGCCCGAATCGGTTTAGGCCAGGCATGTCGACACGTTCTATTACTTCATTATATTCATATTCATTATAGTCACTGTTTCCAAATGCACGAATGCACACGCAGTGGTCTTGATATTGAAGCCTTTGCGTGTGTAACGGGTCTCTGGCGTAAGGCGGTGATGAAAGGGAGTAACGTAAATTGTATAATAACGCACAAAAGATGGAAACGTGTGCATGATAATACCGTATGTACATGTATTGTAACCTATGATACACTCTGTATACAGGGTTCGTAGCGGGTCTTCCAAAGTCTTATAAGTACTTATTTTGCCAAAAATAAAATAAGGGCCCTTATTAGTACTTATTTTTGGTGAAATATTAGAAGTTAAGGATATTAAGTACTTAATAGTCCTTATTATTCGACTTACTGTTCTCGACTTAGAGTAAGAATTGTTGTATATAACACGGAATAATTAAATCTGCTGTGCAATTGTGTATATAAATATTATTAGTGTCGGTGATCTATCAGAAATCGCGTAAAAAAGTCTTATTTTGGTCTTCAGAAAGGGTCTTATAAGTCCTTATTTCAACATGTGTCTTACTACTATGATACACTCTGTATAATGACAGTATTTTTTACTTGACTCGAATTTTGTTTGTGTACTTGCGCACCATAACATTTTGATATGTATTAACTGTTTGAGTATGATCGCCGTAATAAATAAACACTGAAATAAATTCGCTGCGCTTTTACGTATTTTACTGATGAACGTACTAACTGACCGCGTAATCACAATTAATTAACCAGGCGATATGATAATTATGAGTACTCGTAATACTTATATAAACTGCAATATAAACGAACCTAATATATATAATAAAACAGCGCATCATAGGTGTGTCGGCGTTCAATTGCCTATTATAAGTCCTCAGCCTTCTGAATGGCGCGCTTCATGCACCTGCTATCGAACAGATTTTCTCACATATGAGTCACCAGGATTCCATTGCTGGCGACGCTGGACTGACGAGACAGCGGATTATAATGGGGACTTGTCGCTTCGGTGACCATGCTGACGACGTCGGTCTGACTGGCGACGCTCGACGTCTGCGCGTCGCTGACGCTGCCGGAGTTTCTCCGGACGTCTTGCGTCGCGGATTCGCACGCGACGAACGATCGCCACCGCGTCGTCAGCTCTCGACGGAAGGTCACGCTGAAGTAGACGTAGATGACGCTGTTCATCCAGCTATTGCTGTAGTAGCAGACGTTGCAGGCGGGCAGCAGCCACCAGATGTCCTGCGTCAGCTCGTGCGGGTAGATATTGAAGTAGATGTGCGTCGAGTGATACGGCAGCCACATCACGGCGAACACGATCACGATGCAGACGGATATCTTCATCGCTCGCTTCTTGCGCTGCAGCGCGCCCGCCGTCACCTGAGAGTCGCGTGCGGCGTGCATCTCCCGCGTGTCGCGCCATAGCCGCAAGATGACGCGCGCGTACAGACACGCGCTGACGCACAGCGGCACGCAGTAGAACGAGATGAAGTCGATGAGAAAGAAGACGTACGCCTGCTCGGAGCGGCTCTCGAACCTCGTCACGTTGCAGATGTCCATTAAGACGTCGTATTCGGGATGCTTCTGCCACTCCAGGTCGGTGACAAGCATCGCGGTCGCGTACGTCACCGCGCACACGAAGATGGCGCCTATTCGCACGGCGGCCGAACGCTTTCCGTCGCAATGACGCAGCGGCACGACGACGACGCGGTAGCGATCGACGGCGATGGCGACCATCGTGTATGACGTCATCACGAAGCCGACGTCGACGACGTACAGCATGATGTTTTGCGCGGCGCAGTACATCGTCAGGTCAACGGGGCAGAAATAATTAATGAAGATGTGCATCGGCAGCGCCAGCGAGCCGACGACAATATCGGACGAGCACAGGCCCATTATGTAGACGTGGAAGGACGTGTGTAGCTTCCTGCTGATTAGAATCGCTATGATGACGAGCAGGTTCATCACTACGATGGCGACGACGAGAAGCAGATTGGCGCTGATGAACACCGCCGACACCGTCTCCGAGCTCGCCACCTTGAGCGGCGACGCCGACGCGTTGCAGGCGAACGACGACATCGGAGAGCAGTGTTGTCGTGACAACGTGTTTCTAGACGCTCTACGTGGCACCGCACGAGGAGAGCGGTGTTGCCGTGACAACGTGTTCCTAGACGCTCTACGTGACACCGTACGAGGAGAGCGGTGTTGCCGTGACAACGTGTTCCTAAACGCCTAACGTGGCACCGCACGCGGAGAGCAGCATCTCTCTTACGTGACGTCGCTATGTGAACAGCGATCCGCAAGAACGAGGTAGACGCAGCTGTCCATGTTTGTGCATTGGAAATATTTTACACGGAACCGCGAGCTATACGAGTTATTGCATCGGCGAGCGGTTGCGGATGTAAATGTCACACGTGGGGGTCGCTGTGCTAACAAGAACGGGGGACACCTAGCTGTCCTGTGTTTATGCTTCCACCCTCTACGTAGAATTGATATATACCTAATCGATGGCATCCTATGCGCAGGCGCCATGCTGAGAAAAATATATATAGACTTCCGGTTCGCCGCTGCGTAGGTCGCACGTACACTGGTGGTGTTCCGGAGAAAAGGTTATGTAAACACTCACACAGGTGCACGTATGAATTTGCACGTACTCGAGTCAAGGATCGATTATGCTTTGCAGAAGCAGCAGCGCATGCAGCAGCCTGACTATAGAATCACGCTGGCAAACGTCTTCTGCAGCATACGTACGTTCTCTCGTGCAGAGCTTCTTCGGCACTCGTCTTTGGCGCATGAATACCTAAAGATTCCCGATGACTACTATCTTCTGGATATCTAAAGATTGTATAATTCTCGATGTTATAATTACCACGATGGTTTCACTCGGTTTCCCGCAGACCGCTGATTTGGTCCTGATCGTATCCGGACAACTACCCACTGGACAATTACCCACCGGACAATTACCCCCCGGACAATTACCCACCAGGACAATTACCCACCGGACAATTACCCCCCGGACAATTACCCACCAGGACAATTACCCCGACCCCAGGGACAATTACCCTAGCCCCCCCACACACACACCGTACATAATGGATGATTCATCTAACGGACCAACTCATGATTTCATATTTCAACTTCAACATTCGCTGATACTCCGATATTTTGCCTATTATTGCGACATTTTCGATACCCGATATTGAAGTTTCATATCGGCAAGTATCGGCCTTCACCTGCGCATCAGCAGTGGAGCGAGCGCAGCCACCAATGCACACGTACATGTCTAGAACATTTCTGGGTCGCTTGATATAATGAATAACATACATTTATTTTACGTGCTCGGCACGCGCGCCTGGCAGTCGCCGCGTCGCGTTATTCTGTAGTGTTGCTTCTTGTTATTCTTCAAGTAAATTTTTTGTTATTAAGGTGATACGCGCTATTGCAAATTCGCGCAATGCAAACTCGCGTAAATCAAGAAACAGCAGCGACGCGACACCCACTTTTACCTTTCCGTACATTAAAGCCTCGTCTACACGACGAAATTTAACTCGAGTTAGCTTAACCTCGCCAGTCGGATCGAGGTTAAGCTTAACTCGAGTTACCTTAACTCGTGCCCGTATAGGCGCTTAACTCGAGTTAGCGAATAGAACATACTCCCGATAGGCGGCAACACTAGTACGATGTACGTACACACGCACGCACGGCACGCACGCATGCACACACCCACACGCAGCCACATATACGCACACACGCACAAACACGTTACATAACATAACGTACATGGCAAAGAGCAAGATCATTTGGTGATACAACATTTCGTCATTATAGGAGGGGTAGGGCCGACTCCCCCTCCCAATTATCGAGCGCCGCTGTTCTCTGAACACATGGGCTGTAGGCGTTTCTCTCTTTTCCAGACATATTATGTATTGCACGAGACAGGAGAAATTTACGGAAGAGGGAATGTTTTCTTTATTGGAAGGTTAGGTGGGTAATTGTCCTGGTGGGTAATTGTCCTGGTGGGTAATTGTCCGGGGGGTAATTGTCCGGTGGGTAATTGTCCTGGTGGGTAATTGTCCGGGGGGTAATTGTCCGGGTGGGTAATCGTCCTGGTGGGTAATTGTCCGGGGAATAATTGTCCGGGTGGGTAATTGTCCTCGTGGGTAATTGTTCGGGGGGTAATTGTCCGGTGGGTAATTGTCCTGGTGGGTAATTGTCCGGGGGGTAATTGTCCGGGTGGGTAATCGTCCTGGTGGGTAATTGTCCTGGTGGGTAATTGTCCGGGGGGTAATTGTCCGGGTGGGTAATCGTCCTGGTGGGTAATTGTCCTGGTGGGTAATCGTCCGGCTGGGTAATTGTCCTGGTGGGTAATTGTTCGGGGGGTAATTGTCCGGTGGGTATGCATAGTGGTGGCTAATGAGTGTCATCTAATGGTCACAATAAGCACATTACATTACGATGCGGTAGAACAAGCTGACGTGTGATTGAGCTTTATGTATACGTCTCGTGATTGTCACATCGCGCTGTCGCTCTGCCTACCGTTATAGCGCGCGTTGCAGTTAAGGGAAACTGAGCAAGACACTGTTTAGGTATTCATTGGCGCGACCTGGATTGCATCACTCGGAAAACGGATGGGACTACACGTGCTCTGACAATTCAGCAATCGATTAAAGTATGATCGCCGATGAATAATGAGAAATGTCGCAGCGCCCCTCAGCGGTAGGATATATTGCGTTGGCGCTTAGTCCGAGCAGCGGTGGGTTAGAATCAAAATAAGGCGCCGTGTTTTATAAGAATGGGTGGTGGTAGGACGGCTAATAGCGGCGTAACTAGACACAAATTATACCCACGCGCACAAACAATCAAACACGGACACGCACGCACACGAGCACGCGCACGCGCACGCACCCGCACGCACGCACACACACGCACTATGTTAAATCATAAGTGGATACACAGCAAATCGGCGTTGCGAAAGTAGCGCGTAAATATTCCTATATCTTCATATTTCGCACGCATTTTCGTCGCGTTAACTCGTATGACATAGCAACGATATTGCCCGATTCGTAACGTTCCGCCCACTGCCCTTGTAATCAGAAAACACTTAATCTTCACATATCTCAACATATATATCATCAGGGTCCTGGAATAGCTCAGCGGTCCGTACCGTGACGTCACCTTTCGATCGTGACGTCCCGTGTAATTTATGAAAAGTGAAAGTCAAAATCATTTCGCCCTGTTGGCTTTGATGTGCTTGTCAAGTGTTATATACAACGAGTATGAAGTGTGTATACTGCAACTGTCTATTGCCATGGTTCACAAACGGTAGTTCAGATGAGGGAAAAGTTCCCTGGTGAGTTCATAATCATCGTCAATCCAGAAATCACTGCATCGTCATCTAATTATTTTAAGAATTTTTTTCAATGTCTGAATCGATCCTAAACAGGCCTGTATATTGTTTTTTCTTCTAGTCTAATGATTAGTATCGAATGGAAATTATTATCGTTTTCTACATTTCGCAAACGCCAAACTAAATCTGCGGTACGAGATTACAAATACAGAAACTAAAAGCACAGCCGATATTGTTGATTGACTTAATACTAGAGTAACTCATGGTGGTTTTGTATGCAATTTATGTCCAGAACTAAACTCTTTAAGAATCCACTAATTGAAGGTCCAGGAACAATATTTGGTTGTTAACACATTTCCCACTGACGGCGAAATAGGTTTTGGGCCACGCCCTTTCGAGGCGGAAAGTAACTACCGATCCACCGTAAGTTGGTAATTACCAGAACCGTTGGGACAAGCTTCTTTGTTTAGGTTCCCTGGGTACTACAGTGCACACG